TATACTTTCTACCTATCTACTGATTGACTTATATTTGTATATACATAAATGCGGATTGTAAATACGGAATGTTTTTGCTTTGTAAACGTTTGAAAGAAATGTGCGATCATATCAAAAAACTATTACCAGCGGTTTTGAACCTGCCTATAATGAGAATTGAGGAGGTAACAGTTACTACTGTTGTTAATAACAAAAGCACAAAAAGTCCATTACAATCTCTTAATTTGAATTTTGATGTAAAAATTGGGCCATCTTGTCATTTAGTTGTCTCTGCTTTCACAATAAGTTTGAAATGTACTTATCTTCCTTGATATTAATTAAGGAAATTGGGAAAATATACGCAAAAGAATGAAGGTAGCTAAAGAGAACAATAAAAAAATAAGTAATAAGCAAAATTTACATAATTAGTTAATAAACACAACTACCGTTATCTTTTGAATTATTTTGTGATAAATTACAGCAAAAATATTCAAGGTTTACTGCTGCCAAGTACTTTCTAATGAAATATGAAATATTGGCATCTCTGAAAACAAGCGTTGTTCCCTAAATGCTTGTTATTTTCCTTGAAAACATGTTGTTAGGGAAATTTCTCTTAGTCTTTTTAATTGTTTCATTTTTTTTCTTATCATTTTTTCTTATCTATAAACGCGGTATTTTATCTATAAAAACAGTATATTCTATCTATTTTGTATACGTTTTATCTTTAAACTACGGTAACTGTATTAAATTTCTTATTCTTCTTTAACGTTTGCCTTACTTAAGCTTAGAAAAGCCCTCCAGATGATTTGATAAATAACTGTGTTTTAGTTTACAGTTTTACGTTAATTAAATTTTTCATTAAAAACGTTGCGTCGTTCTATTAGCGCATATCCTTCGAATATAAATATGAGCAATTTTGTAAATTTAAGTATTTTTGAAAATTATCAAAAATACATTGATAATGAACAAGAAATACGTGAAGTAATATTTGCAATTAGTTGAATAATTTCGTGTATAATATTTAAGTAAACTCTTAATTGCAGAAAATTCGCTTGATGGTGCGTAAAATCGAACAGAATACAAAAGAAGCAGCAATACAATTGCAGATCATACATTGCGACCTCAGTAAAAGTATGCATGTTGATGTTTTACTTTTTTCAAAGATAGTTTTGGATAACACTATAATCATAGAAAGTGAAAGTTTTTATTTATGAATTTTGATAATTTCCTTATTTCTTTCCTTAAAGTTGATAATGCCTGTGCACAAGCGCGTAAAACTATTGCTGCATGTTCAGAAAATTATCAAAGTTTATCAGAGATTATCCCAATTGGTCAATACTATCGGTAATTTCAATAACTATATAATTTTGTGAAATTTTTAATTAATTTTACGATATTATTTTAGTTATTCCGATCATTGGACATATATTACTCAACGTTTAGTATTTATTATAGCGATGGTGGTCTATCTGGAAGCAGGATTCCTAGTGACACGTGAGACTGTAGCTGAAATGCTAGGTTGTAAGTGTTATTAAAAAAAAAACAAAGGGATATTTCTAGAGAAAATAAGCACTTTTGTACCCCAAGCCGTCTTTGTACAATAACGACAAAAAGAAACAAGCCATATGTTCTACTTACCCACCCAATAGGCTAAGGATCTCGACTAATAACTCAAGAAAGCCGCTAGCCTCAGATGCTAGTTTACGACTTTAATCTTTGAATTTATTTTTATAGCTATACTAGTAGTAATATACCTCACGTAAATAGTCTCCCACATATAAATACTAGCCATGGTGCAAGAGTATATTAAGTTTATGCGAATGAATGACTTGAGTTAGATTTACCGCTTATCATGATGGCAGATTTCATTTAAGTTTATCTATCCGTCTAGTTTCCTTTTCGTTTAATCTGCCGCAGAATTTTTTGAAATATTTTTATAAAAGTTGCTGCACTGTTTTAACCAAAGGACAAACGCTATCGAAAACGCTGCATTAGACGGCTTTTTCGACCATTTCCCATATAACTGCTTTATTTTGAGAAACTTGTTATATGTATATCCGTAAGAGGTGGTGGATCATGGCTCTCAATAGTGTTGTTATGCTAGTCTTCAGATGTTACAGTAACAGTTGTGAGACGTTTTAAAAGAAAATAATTTAGCTCGATACCGGTAGGTAGTTTTAAACCTACATAATAATGGGAAGAAATAGTGCCAGTAGAGGTTAAATGAATATACCAGCTTTAATCTCTTTCCCCCTGAATTCGTGATGTATTATTATATCTTTCGAGCGCTTAAATTTTTTGTTAATTAGAACATTCTCAAAAAACTACAGTTAATAGTAGAAATAAGTCTTCACTTTAAATGACAATTAAACGCAAGAAGGCAACGGTAAAGGAAAGGATTTATGAATGCCAACTATTTTTATTTTTAAGAGCCTATCAACAGTAACAAATTTCCTTAAACAACATCGTTGTTCAAACTACATAGCAATTTTTAGAATTTTGGACTCGCTTTTTAGTTCTTTCGCCATTGTTTTCGCATTACTTTTAATTCTGGTCTAAGGAATATAGTGAATTAGGATTATATGAGATAGTGTTCAAGATGCTTCATCAATTTTTGCAACTATGACAAAATTATTAATGTTCAGTTGCAGAATTGAAAAATGTATATAAAAATATTCCTTAGAAAATTTTTAATGGACATAACTGGGCTGCAAAAAAATTACGATACTCTGTATGATCCTGAAGATAAAGAAAGATTCGCTTGCATTCAAATTGAATATACTTATGCATTATAATACGGAAACTTATGATGTTATCCTCTCGCCATTTCCACGGACGGATATTCTTAAATAATCTTAGAAAAAGATTTTCAGTCGATTTAGCCGCGTCAGTTTGTTGCCAAAAATTGAGATAAACAGCTGAAGCCTAACTACGTCGAATGGGAAGGTGACTGATCTACCCATAAAAGCTTCAGATTCTTTAATGCAAAGACGGTCTTAAGCTTTCTCTGCAATCATAGAAAACTTTACGATTTACACACTTTTGTTAGAAGTAGTGGACGTGTCGTGAACATCTTATCACATCTAATGTTGTTTTATTTTGTGCGGCTCGGCTTCGATGAGTGTCACAACTTTCTAATTTTGAAAGACCCTTTAAAAAAAAAAAGAAATAGCTTCGTCGTTTTTCCATTTCATTTGCAACGAATTCATGAGAATTCTAAGAACTTCTTTTTATCAAGCTCTCTCATAAATGGGTCAATACAATTATTCTCCGAAAATGATTATAGAAGTATATTTAAGAAAGTTATTAATTTTTATAATTTATATATATGCATATAATATAAATTGAAATAATATATAATTATAATTTTTAATTTTTTTAATTAAACCAGTAAAGACGAATCAGGCTGATGGTTTCCATTTGGACATTGAAGATTATTTAATGGGTATTTTGCAAATGGCCTCTGAACTATCAAGATTTGCCACCAATTCAGTTACATTGGGTGATTACGATCGTCCTCTTCACATATCACGTTTTATGGCTAATTTAAATGCTGGTTATCGTTTGCTTAATTTAAAAAATGATGGACTACGTAAACGATTCGATGCATTAAAATATGATGTGAAAAAAATCGAAGAAGTCGTTTATGATATTAGTATACGAGGGCTGAAAAATAGTACTAACGAAGCAACGGATGAAACTAGTAACAAAGAGACGACAGAGGAAAACTATTCTTCGGCAAATGCCGTTGGCACTGTTGAAAACGTTTAAATATTTAAGCACAAAAAAAAAAAAAAAAAGAAAAAAGAATACAAAGAGATTTAAGGAGGAATAATAAGAAACATTCCTCTCTTCTTTACTACATATAAACAAAGCGAGAAAAGAATACATAAATACATGTAAATATAAATATCCGTCTTTTGCATAAGGAATTCCCCCATAATAACAGAAGAAACGGCAACAGCGACAGCAACACAGCCGTCACCGACAACGAAAATCAACATCAACATCATCAACGATGATGTATAGTCGTATAGTCGTGGTCTTGTGGTCGGTCTCCGTAGTTAAACTGCTGCCGGTTAAGCCGTTTGCCATTTGGAAACTCAATTTTATTCGTGTATTTAGCTTGGTTGAGAGCGGTTGTTGTGTTTGATTAACGGCGGTTTACTTTTCGTTTTGAATTAATTGAATTTTTTTATAAAAAAGAAAAAGAAAAGATATAAAATAAAAATAAATATATGCAAGAAATACAAATCACTTTTATTTGTTCAAGTGTTTTGCAATTATTGACGACGACTCTTTTAAGAGAAGAAACGCGCCTCAACGAAAGATATTATAAAATTGAAACACACCCACTTTTCTCATTTCTTTTATTTGTTCGGCTTTATTCAAAATACTTCAATGTTAGTGTGCTACCTGTGACTGAGTATAATTACTTATTGTTGTCGTTGTTGTTTTTTTTTTTTTTTTTTGATTTCTTCTACCTACCTACCAAAGCATCATTTATTTAAAGTAAGTAAATTAAGGTGATCTTCAAGTTTTAAGGATAAACAACTTTCTATCTTAAGTTCTCTTCATCTTCTTCTTCATTGTTATCGTCTCTTCTGTTTTAAGATTTTTGTATGCGTAGTGTTGTCTTAACCCCATTAAAAAGAAATGCAAAAGCGTACGGAATAAATAGATCTACCTATACACAGTTATTTATGTTTATTTAGTCATTTGCTTATTTATTTATTTTTTTTTTTTATTATTTTCTCTTTCTCTAATTCTAGGTCTTCTTTGACTTATTTTTATGAATTCAATGACCGACTAACGTCCGATTATCTTAAACAGTGTTTGACTTGTTTGTTTGTTTTTTTATTTATTTTTGTTGTTTTATTATTACAGTAAATTTTTCATTCGCTTCTATTGTTAATTATTTATTTCGTTTTGTTTTGCTCGTATAGTTCTCTTTAATTTCGTTATTTTATAATCGTTTTTTTTTTTTGTTATTCTTTTGCTGAGGGATTATGAAGATGGATTGTGCTTGCATTGCAAATGCATATTAAAAAGGCGCCAACATTAAGAGAAACCGGTTTGAAAGCAAGAAATAATTGATAAATAAAATATGAAAGAATTTACGTCTCTTATTATTACTAAAACAAAAAAAAATTAAAAAAAAATACAATTTTGGTTATATAAACTTTTCGGTGGCAAAAAATATCTTTTTACCGTTTCTTTTTTTTTTTCATCTTTTAATCTTGTGAAGAGGGAAAAACATTCATATTTGGTATAATAGATAATATTGTGCTTATTATTCAAAAATACAATTTTGAAATCCCATGAAATATATAAGATTCGTATTAGTGATTATCTTTTCTTGGCTATGCTTTTTTTATACCCACCACTGTAAGATGGGGGTATACTCGTTTTGCTTTTTTCCCCATAATATAGGTAATACTCAAAAGAAGCTTTTGGCACCTTATAAAGTATATATATTCTTGATCAGCTTGAAATTCTGAATTGATTCAGCCATGTCTGTCCGTCTGTATGGAATATGTTAACACTCCCTTGGTCGCACAAACGAAGATATCGACTTCAAATTTGGTAAAATCATTGAAAGTTTCTCCACTTAGGTTGGTATTGAAAATGGGCCAAATTGGTCAGAGCAGAAGGGCGCAGTGTAGGGTAAACTAAACGCAACTTCGCTTTTTTTAAACAAAATTTTTGAATTTTTGCTCGCTATTCCGAAACTATTACAGTTAGAAGGTTAAAATTTTCCACATTTGCTTTACGACACGTTTTATTTTCTACGTTCAAAACTGGAACCAATCGGCCACGCCTACACAAAGTTATGAATGATTAAATTTATCTTTTTTTTCACTTTTTTTAGGTTTTGTGCCTATTTTTCATAAGGCAAACAAGACAAAACGTTTAAACGCTCCTCAAATGAAGATATATTATCTGCCTAAAAATGGGTTAATTTTAAAATGAATATGACAGACTTATGGGTATCAAATAAAAGAACTTAAATAGTAGAATGCGAAAACCCGCCACTATGAATATATGAAATTGGGCCCCCGCCGAACACAACTTTCTTAGTTATTTCAGTTTTCAACTGCTCTTAGAGTACAAGGTTGAAAAATGTTTCATTTTGGAAGGAATGGAATCTATCTTTAAACATACGCTAGATAATCATCTAAACGATTTCTCATAAAGTGAAATCCACGCTGGCCTTGGCTGATTTTAAAAGCTTGATAGTTTATATCAGTGCATCATTTTGCTAACACTATACAGTAAAAGGCATCGAATTTATTCACAGATACGCCATAGGTTTCCCCGGAGATTTTCGTGGAGAATGCGACTTAACTGTTAAGTCCGGATCATTATCAATCAAAGCTTTTCTGAAGATTGCATGCATTAACATTGAACTCTCGATTTTTAGACAGACATATAGACCGATCTAGAACGGTTCAGAATATTACCATGACAAAGAATTTACATAGGTTGTGGCGTCGTTAACACGCAATGTCCTGGTGTGTTGCGAGCGGGAATATTCGACATGTTACGCATGATGAAATCGGCTTAAAATCTTACACTGATTAAGGTGCATTTTTCGTATCTTCAACTTTTATATACCTTCATTCTTTGGCAGTGTTTTTTAAAAAAATTCCGTTAAATTGTAAGATATCAAGAACAGGTTGCGGAGCGTAAGTAAACTAACTCGAAGAATGTAAGCAGAAATACCGCTAAGTTTAACATAATAGTATGCCCAAAAAGTAAGACCTATGTGCAACGGACATCAGAAATATTTTTTTTTTAAATACGTAGTGCTTTCATAGACATCAAAACTGTCAAATTTCACATCATCAACGTCATTAGTGTTTCAGTCGCGCTTCGACAGATTCCAAAAGTATTTTTCCCGGATTTTTATAATGTTTGAGAGGAGGAGGAGTTTCTCACTACTAATCGCTGATGAAACAAATTATTACGGGAGATTAGGCTTGGATGCATCTATGCAGCCGCCAACAATCCATCAATCTAGCGAATATCCAAAGTTCCTCAAGAGCAAGTTAAGGTTAATAGGTCTCTTCGATTATCGTGGCGGCGTGCGTGCTATGAATTCTATCCGCTAGGTCAAATAGTTAACTAGAAATATTATCTGAGTATTATGCCCCGTTTGCGTGAAGCTATAGGCAAAAAGAGTCCGAAATCGTGGAAAGAAAACAAAAAGACTGAATTGATCTTACTTTTTGGACACAGTATTATTTCAGAGCAAGAGACTTCTATATGAAACTTTTCTTATGCAGCTCTTCCCGTAGTTAAATTATTGATTTTAATTCACATAAGCGCGAAGGCGAACACAATCGATTTCACGATTTCTACTAAAAGTTGAAAGTTTAATATCTGATGACATTGATGATCCTGTAAATGATGTGATTACTTAAATAGTGTAAATGAATTTATACTCGAATTAGATTTTATAGAAAGCTGAGATAAACTTGATAACTTGATGAACTTTATTACACCTATTACCAAAAAATGAGATGTATATTAATTTTATTCAAACGTTTGCAACGCCCTGAAGGAAGCATCAGCGAAATCACAAAGTATATATATTTTTGATCAGGTCCGCCTGTCGGTCTGTTCGTCTCTGCAATGTCTGTTGTAAACATTTCCTAGCCACAAGGACGAAGCCATCGACATTAAATTTTGCAGAAACATTGGAAATTTTTGCACTCAGGTTGGTATTGAAAATGGGCCAAATTGGTGGAAGGACACGCCGACAGTATCATGTAAACTGAGAACGCGTCTGTGTTTCGAAAGGATTAAAAAATAGTTTTTTTGCTCATTACCCATAAACTGTGGCAGATAAATGTACAAATATTGAAATATATATTCTATGGGCGATGTTGTAGCGTTTGTACAAAAATGAAAGAAATCTGTTTTTTTGCCACGGTTGGCTTAAATAATTCAAAAAAGGAGACAATTTCATTAAATTTGTCTTTAATCTCATTTATCCTATGCCATGCAGACAAATTGCGTTGTTTTTGCCTTTAAGTTTCGTTGAATTCATCAGCGTAAGTTTCCAATTCTTCGGATATATGGTCATAAAATTTCATAACCGCTTCCCGAATTCTCTCACTAAATTCGACAACTTTGTATTGAATCCGCCTCCCGCAATGTTATATATATTTTATGTAATCGCCATCTTTTCCCGAAACAGTAACACATGATATCAACAATTTTGTGAAACCTAACATTTATGTATGAGGCGAGTTTTGCGAATTATTTTATACTCACATTCGCATTTTTATATTCATTGCGTAAACTTCACTTTTCAACTAATTTTCACTTGTTTTTTGTTTTGATTACTTTATACTTTACGGCTTTAAATTTATTTTATTATTAATTTTTTTTTTTTTACTTTCGTTTTTCCACAATTTTTTCCACATACAGTTGAGTAATTTTACTGGTCCATAAACTAATGTTAATAAAAAAAAATTTCGTCTGAGAGCGAATCGTGAAACCCCACCGCTATTCTCCTTATCCCTTACATAGGCCATTGTATTGCAAGGAACTTCTTATACGATTCCAATTAATATGTGCTTTTAAGTCTTTAAGTTATTTCTGCAATTTGTTTAGCTCTTTTTTTTTTTTCTTTGGGTCATATTTTGGCCTTAATACAGTTTTTATCCAGTTTACTGTGTCGACATCTCGTCAAAGACAGGGTATGTGCAATATATGGGGTTTTAATGACATGAAATGATATTTTGTAATATATCTTACTATGGCAAGTCCATATTCCACATAATGATAAAATTTTGTTAGGAAATCCAGCAAGAATGGATGGACTGATCGTCACATAGAGTTAATTGATTAAGCTGTCATACTTCGATTAAGGCCAGGAAACTACAACTAGCTTAACTATAACTTTTTATATCAAATCTTATGAGAACTGACAGATGAATCGATTCAAAATCGTATCCTAATCAATAGGTGTAAATAAACGTTCATATATATATATATATGAGAAATATTTTTGATTATAACAATCGCAACAACAAACTTAGTATACCTTTGATCATATTTCGTTGGTTGCCGATGATGATGGATATAAAAACATATGAAACCTAAAAGGTAGTCGTAGCTAAAAAGATAACAATAAAAACAAGTTGTTGTTTATGTATCTGTATCGGTCTTTCATAAAGTCCAAAGTCCATAACAGCATTAATATTGACTTGTATTGTA